ACTGAAATCAACTCGTTCTATGATGAAGTAATAACAGATATGGGCGAGTTCAAGGTAGGAGACAAATGAAATTTTATGTAAAAGTTGAATTATCTTTTTTTGTCGGTTTAGGATTATGCAGACGATGCATGGGTGCAAATGTTGAAAACAACTGGAGGAGATCGTAGCACAGTGTTATTGGCCAGAACTCGTCGAGATTATCAAGTTCCACCTACTGGTGTTGAAGCCGCGTTCGATGCGGCAAAGCCGGTCAGTAGTGGCGGAGGTGGCAGTTCCGGACGATGCAGTACGTTTTGCCGTAATAGTAGAATAATTAGCATTTGCTTTTGTAATGCTTCGGCATGAGAAATATTCAAAGATGTCGGTGTACACGTATCTGGTGGAAATATGCTTTTCTTCTTAGACTGCGCAGAGCAATCAAGAAATTGCCAGCCGGGACCTCCTGGACCACCAGGAAAACCAGGAGCACCTGGAGGTGCGCTATCAACCCTTTTTTGATATCACTTGGTTTGTGATTGATAGATTTGTAGTGGATGGCGAAAATGGTGCAAGCGGAAGGCCAGGAATAACTGCGATGGCTGCAGCAGCTCACCAAATGATGGGTGGTTGTATCAAATGTCCAGCTGGACCACCTGGACCACCAGGACCGGATGGTAGTGTTGGACCTCAAGGACCTAATGGAAATCCAGGAATCGTAAGTTTCCTACTAATCGATATTGGTCAATGCTAAAGCCAATCCTTCTTGCAGGATGGGAGTGGTGGTGGAAGTGGAGGACCCGGACCTGCTGGACCAGCTGGCGCTCCTGGACGAAACGGTAATCCCGGAATTCCTGGCACCCCTGGACAAGATGGTACGCACCATAATTTTATGAATATCACGGAAATATTAATAGACATCCTACAGGATCGCCTGGAACCAGAACGTCGAACCTCCCCGGACCTGTTGGACCTCCTGGTGCGCCCGGAGCTCCTGGTTCCAATGGACAGGTGCGATATACCTTTACATATAGTAAGCAGAATGCTATGCCTTTTTCTTTTTAGGATGGTACAAGCAGCGG